CATACCATAAGTAAAAATATATATAAATGTGTTGTAAATTTAAACATATTAAAATTTGATGTTTTTTATATAATATTCCAATCTGATTGTCCCAAAAGGTTCCAGATAACTTTAAAGACAAACTGTATTGAATTTTTTACAAATTTATTACTAATATTTGATTTACTTGTTAAAAAAACAAATGAGGGGATTTTGTCTCAAATTTCAATTAAATATTTAAGAACCCAATATAGACATAAATTCAATGTTCTTTTACTTACTGTTATCAATATCACTTGCATCCACTTGGATTCAAATTAAAGCCAATAACATTTTATGTATATATAAAGTAGGAAAATGTCTATTTGATAATGAATATTATAACCAGTATACAATTTCACTTGATGAAAACTTAAATAAAATAATTATCAATTATAAAAAGTCGGCTAACAAAACTTGTAACAAATTTGTGACCGTTAGAACTCTTCAAAATGACGAATACACAATTATTGGTGATATCCCAGAATATGTCGCAACACGTTCCACAACTGGCAATACAAACAGTTGCCCAGTTTTACTCCAGGGTGCTAAGTATTCGAAGTACTTATACCCAAGTGGATGTATGAAAGACTCTGAGTCAACATTGCATCTCTATACGATTAGATATCTAAAATTATATAAGCAAACATTTTTTTATTTGTTGTTTAGACCTTTATACAGAGAAAGAAATTGGAGAATTGAATACTTGTGGCACTAATGGGGTATATATCCAAACATTTTTTATTTCTGTTTTGGAGTCCAAATATGTCGCTAAAAATGTAGGATTATTGAAATCTGTTTTTGAATATTCAAGGTGTTACCGATACGACGGGTGGTATATCAAATATGAGAAATCCGCCAATGGAGTGAAGAGATATATGTCCCAAATTTCATGTAGTAATTGGGAAGAGGATATAACTTCACAAAAAATTTTACAAATATTAAAAGAATTGCCGCCATGTGTAGTGATAAGACGTGTTTATGATGAAGGCTTTGAGTGTGTAATTTCTAATCAAAAAGGTTAAGCTTATATAGAATTGTACCACGAAATATGTACATTAAATGATAAAAAGGTTAGATCTCTATTCTGTATAATCCAATAATTGAATAAGGGAAAGATTCAATTATAATAATTGTACTAGTTTACCAAAAACCACACAAATCGCATTCGGAGATTGTTTAGTTGAGGGTCAAAACAGTGTCATTTACTACACCACATTTGACAAGTTTGAAGAGACCAAATACGTGAAAAAGGACAACACCGAGTATTTCTCAACGATTTTTGAGTTTGGAAAGTGCTTGAAAGATAATAACATGTACTATAAATTTGAGAAGAACGGCACACAAATTAATGCGTTTACTTCCTCAACTTCTTGTGACACATTGAAAGTTGCAAGTGATTCAGTATTGTCTGGTAAAGTGTCTGCTATAATATCTTTGCCGGAGCACGCTGCTATTATGTATAACTACGGATCTCTTGTTAACTGTTCAAGTGAAAATATTGATATGGCGACTCAGTACGTCTTTGATAAATGTTTTGAAGAAGACGGAAAGTACTATAAAGTCCAAGTTGGGATCAGTGAATTAGCAAAACGCGAATATGACAACTCGGCGTGCTATGGAAAGTCCAATACTGTGTGGTACATTTATATGGACAAGTGTACGACTAATAACAAAGATAATGTCAGAATCACTTAACACGAAATACCAGTAGAGTCTGCTAAGTATTTATTATACACCGAAGAAGGATATCCAGGCACTTTTTATTTAGAATTTGACAGGTGCACTTTTCTTAAAAAAGAGGGCTTTAACACTTTTAAATTGACTAAAAAAATTGAATATTGTCTTCAAAAAAAGTATGACTTGTTCGCAAATTGATACAAATGGTTTGGAATGGTACGCACAACCGTATTTGATTGCAGAGAGTATACCAAATGTCTATAGTGTCATCGAACATTACTATGGAGATATATACTTCTGCACGTTCGCTAGTACCGTACAAGAAGCAGAGAA